CGCGGCGCCCGGGGTGCCCTGCCCTGGCAGGATGCGGCCCGATAAGGCGTCCCGGGACGTTTGCGTTCGGGGTGTTGCTGTGTCCTATCAGGATGTAGCACTGAGGGGGTCCCTGTCCCCACGGGGGCCTCATCCTGGGAAATAAATGGGAGCTGTGCCCACGGGGAAAAAATACCAGGAATAGCATCACAAATTGGTCAAGGAGGATGGGAAGGAGGAAAACTTCCTGGTTCCCCCTGGGTGCCAGCGCCTCTGTGCTAGGGATCCCCTGGCCCTACTCATGGGGCTGCTGGGACCTCCCCCAGTTTGGTGCTGGGCAGCGGGCAGGGGTGCACTCGGGAGGCAGGAAGCTGTAGTGGGGGGAGGAAGAGGCCCCTGGAGCCGATGCAGAGGGGAGATATCCCCTCCGGAACAGGGGAGGGGACCGCAGGGGGCCACAGGCTTGCAATGGGGGGTAGCACCCCCAGGGAGGCTCAAAACCCACTAAGCCCCAAAACCCCCCAGCAGTGACTGACAGCTGCCAAATTGTCCTGAGCATCCCTTCACACCATCAGTGTCCCCAAATTGTCCTGAGCATCCCTTCAACACATCAATGCCCTCAAATTGTCCTGAGCATCCCTTCACTCCATCAGTGTCCCCAAACTGCCCCGAGTATCTCTTCACTCCATCGGTGTCACCAAATTGTCCTGAGCATCTCATCACCCCATCAATGCTCTCAAATTATCCTGAGCATCCCTTCACCCTGTCCCCAAAAGGTGCAAGGACCTGCTGGTACAGACCGCAGCAGGGCCAGGGTCCCCTTCAATGTCCCCAATCCCAAACAGATGCCACCGCCCCCCATTAAGATCATCCCCAGGGCTGACACATGGCTTTGCCAGACACAAACCAGGCAGGAGGGGGCGTTTGGGATCCCCTAAATTTGGGGGGCTACATCCCCAAACCCCAATTTCCCCCTAACCCCCAACAATCTAACCCGAACACAACTCCCTGGCGATAAAATAAGAAATATCTGGAATAATTATTCCCACCCATGCATCGTAGGGCGGAGGGGAAGGAGGTGGGGGAAGCGATGATGGGGTGGGGGGCTGGGCCCCCCGGACGAGCTGTGCCCTGCTGGCCCCGATAATAAACCTTGAGGTTTGCAGACAAACTCCGGGCAGGCTTTTTGGGAGAGATTATTCGGAGCAGGAGTCGCGGCGCTGATAATATCTGGAATAATTATTCCCACCCATGCATCGTAGGGCGGAGGGGAAGGAGGTGGGGGAAGCGATGATGGGGTGGGGGGCTGGGCCCCCCGGACGAGCTGTGCCCTGCTGGCCCCGATAATAAACCTTGAGGTTTGCAGACAAACTCCGGGCAGGCTTTTTGGGAGAGATTATTCGGAGCAGGAGTCGCGGCGCTGATAAACACAACCGAAGGCGCGCGGGAGGCGAAGGGGAGGGGGGCGAAAAGGGAGAGAGAAAGGAAAAATTAAATAAAATGCAGTTTTAATTTAGATGTATTTTAAAAAAAAAGTTGTTTTGTCCCATCCTGATGCTCTGTCCTGGTGGTAAGGATGGATTTGGGGTTCCTAGGAGTGGGGGACCTTTGTAATTAACCTGGAGCCATCAGTAATGCCTAATTTATTTATTAATTAAATAAACCCCGGAGAAGGTGGCAGCAGGGAATTGGGGCTTCAGCGAGGTGGAAATCTTGGTGGGAACCCGAATAGTGAAGCCAATGTAGGAACCACCCAGGGTTCACCATGGTGGGGATTCTCCGGTGTCTCGTAATGTGGTTGAGCATCTTATCCCTCAATGGGGCTCAGCTCTCATCTGTTTCCTCATCCCAACACTGTGTTAATTCGATTTTTTTGGGAGTTTTTTGCCTTTTTCCCTCTGGGAATATTGTCCTGAGGTGGTGAGGTTGGCTGGGCAGTGATGGGGTGGGAGGGGAACCAGAGGCTGCGGGTGCTCCCGAAATTTTCTGCTATTGACCCTGCTCCAGAGCAAAGAAAAACGAGGGGGAAAGATGGAAACTGGGGCATGGCCTAGAGCTGCTGGTGGGGTTGTGGGGAAAGGTTTGGGGGGATTTGGGGTGATCTGGGGAGGATACACATGAAGCGTGGCCATGTTCAATCCCAAGATCCCTTCAGTGTCCCAGCCCCCTGGCCAAAGGTGCAGCACATCCCCAAAAACCTCTGGAGCAGAGGACAGCAGCCTTTGGCTCCCAGGGAGCTGCAGATCAGCCAGGCCAGCAGCAGCCCCCTCAGCTCACAAGGTCATTTCAAAGATAAACCAAAATATTCCTCCTCCCTCGCCTGGCACACTGCGTCCCCAAACCTCTGGCACAGCGGGCACAGCCATAAGGTGGGAGTTTATCCCCAAAAAATGGCCAAGGGGGAAGACGAGACCCCTCAGGGCATGAACAAAGCTGCTCCGAGCAGACCCGCTCGCCTCCCCCCGCCGCATTTTGGCGGCTTCCATTGCTGACATACGGCGGATCCTGGCAGATAAAAAAGCAAATTCAGGCTGCTCAGAGTTTCCCTTTTCGCCAGCTCCATCCCTGATAAGTGCCGAGCCTGCAGAGCGCCTGATAGACGGGGCTATCGCGGCGGTTGGTGCGCGAGGAACACCCTATCGCTGCAGCATCGCCGGACCGCCATCAACTCCCAGCCACACAGAAATTAATACCACTCCAATTACCAGAATAGAGATGGGCTGGGAGAAGGCGATAATAAAAATCTCTTTTACATAAAGAATGCAAATAACCCGCTCTGGCGAAGGGGAAAAAAAAGGGGGAAGGGGAGGCATGGTTGGAAGCTGAGGCTTCATGGTGCATCGTTCTGCCGGGATGCTGTGCTGTGACCCCCGCATGGGGTATGGCGACATGGGTGGGGGTTTGGCACCGCAGCCCCTTTCCGGGATGCCAGTGCTGTGCCAGGGGGCAAAGGGCCGAGGGGAGCGGATAAGCAGGGGCCGGAGGCGGCCTCGCAGCTCCTTCCTGCCCCGGCATGCAGGAAGGGCCAGGATATCAGCGGGACCAGCAAACGCTTCCCCTCAGATGGGGCGGGAAGGGGGAGTGGGGCCGTGGGGATTTCGGCAGCTGCGGGAGCACATGCAGCAGCAGCTGGTGTTTCCCAGGGCTCCTCCATTGCCCAAACCCAGGCCTGGGGGCCTTGGTGATACAGCAGGGACTCCCACAAATTGGAGTCCTGCATTGGGATCACCCCCTCCCATCACGCGCTGCTCCATGGGAATGCTCCGAAACCAAATCCATGGCATCGCCTGGCCATGAGCTTCTCTGCAAGGGAAATACGGCACATCCAGGGCCCAAAATCTGGCACATCCACCTTGGGGGGTGGTCTCAGCTCCCCCCATCCCATAACCAGGCGCCCACAAACCCAATCTGCACGGCGTAACCCCACCGGCGGCTCGGTTTGGAGATAGCGGGGCGATAGGGCGTGGGGTACCCCCATGGCGTGCCCGGCCCAGCGGAGATGCCAAGAGGGAGATAGATGGCTCAATTAGCTCCTTGGGGTTTTGATAACCATCGCCCAAAACCGCTTGAGCGTCGCTCTTGTGGTTGCTGTGATGTTTAAGTGCCCTCATGAGCACAGGGTGTTGCACGACGGGGTCCAAACCCTCCCCATAACCACGGTGTTGGCATCCATCCGTTTTTACCATCCCAACAGCAGCTTGGGGGATGTGAGGGACCACAACCATCGTCTTGCACCTCCTCTCCCAGTAGCAGTGCTGGTATACACTGCCTGCCCAGTGTTCCCAATCCTCATACTGGTTTTTGTGGAGGTGGGTGCTGCTCCAGCTGGGATGGAGCGAGACGACTGCCTGTGCACCAGAGACTCACCTGGCCCATTCCAGGCATCCAGCTCCTGTGAGATTTCTCCGGGATCCGGCTTCTCCAGCTCCTTTGGACTCTCTGAGCCGTCTCTGGACTCTGGAGCAGGAAAGGGAAGGCAGCGGGGTCACACATTTCGGACTTTGCATCCCATGGGGGCCAGGACCACCAAACCGGTGACACCCAGGACCACTGGAATGGTAACACCCCAGGGCTAGGACATATGTGGGTCCCCCTTAAAATCTCTATATCCAAAAGCCCCCATTGCCCAGCCAGGGTGTTCCCCACACCCCCTAGAATGACCCATCCCACCGCAGGCCCCACGTCACCCGGCTCAGCCCCGCTCCCGTCACGGCTCTATTTGTGGCGTATTCATAGCAACTTGATAACAATTATTTTCTCCATTAACTGCTGCTGGAGATGCAGCTGATAAGGCCTATCTGCATATGACAGTGGGGAAGATTAGCGCCCAAAGTACATGTTTGCCTTGGCGTCCCGGGCGGATAACCAGCGCGGAGCCCAATCGATCGGCGCCAGCGCGAACACCCAGGGGTGACGTCACCGGCATTGGAGATTATTAATACAGGTGATAAGCGGAATGATTAACATCAAATAAATCAATCACCGGGTATAAAAGTCCTATTATTTTTGACTATAAATCAAAGTGCCTGCCATATCGATTTTTATCCATCGCGCTGAAAGCTTTAGTGGCCGTTATTGCTGCTCGGCGTTATCTCTGCTATCACCTTTTTATCGAGGCAGGCCAGTGCCAGGTGCAGCTCCGCGCCCGGGCTCCCGGCTCCCCCATCAGATAAAAGCACCTCCCTGTCACTGAGCCCCCCTGTCCTGGCTCTTGGGGGTCCCCAACACATCCCTGTTTGCCTCCCATGGGTTTTGGGGGTCGCTTTGCTCCTTGGTTGCTGGTGGATGAAGGCGGTGGGGATTGGCCAGCTCCATTAGCTGGCATTAGCCTTGCTCCACTGTGGTTATCTCACAGGGCACTGCAAACACCGACTGATTAGGGTTTGCCCCCACCTCCACAGGAAGGAACTTAAGGGATATCTGGGGACTGGTTCAGCCCGGCCCTGAAACGCAGCCACCTCTGGGGTGGGGCGCAGCGCGGCGGCAGGCAGGCGGCGTGGGCAGGAAGCAGGCAGCAACGGCCCCGTCCCCACGTCCCCATCCATAGCACCACCAGTGACAGCAGCCGGGGCCTCAGCAGCTGCTTTGCACCCTGAAGAGTCACTTTGGACCCCAAGGGATGTGATTTGGCATCCCTGGGAGGGTGACTCTGCATCCCAAGGGATCACTTTGCACCCCGAGGAGTCACTTTTCATCCCCGGGGGGATCACTTTGAACCCCAAGGGGTCACTTTGCATCTCTAGGGGGGGTCACTGTGCACCCCAAGGGGTCCCTTTTCACTCCAAGGGATGGGACTTTGCATCCCTGGAGTCTCACTTTGCACCCCAAGGGACGTGGTTTTGCACCCCAAGGGGTCACTTTGCATCTCTGGGAGGGGTCACTGCGCCTCCCCACATCCCTCCACCACCAAACAGTGGGGTGGCGCTGAGCAAGGGTGAGAGCTGGGGTCCAGGCTGCCCCCCATGGGTCCCACCATCAGCTGCAAGGGATGGAGCACCCCAGGGGGTTCTCACTTAACCAGCAGGGTAGGTGGGCTGCTTTGTTAGCTAATTACCACCATGCACCACCAGCAGAGATGGTGCCAGTGTGGTAGAGCCCACCCCCACGGTTTTGGGGAGGGGACAGACATCATGGGACTCACCTTCGCTGCCGGGGGGGCTGGAGGTGTCGCATTCGGCAGAGCCCTCATGGTCTGAGGTGGCCCCCTCCCCCTCCAAGGGGCTCTTCTCCCCCACTGGGCCCTCCTCGCCGTCCTCCATCGCTGCCAGGGAACCTGCCAAAACACAGTGAGGCGGTTATGGGGGGGCAGAACTGGAGGACGAAAACCCTCAGTGGGGTTTCATTTTATGGGAATGAGCCCCCCTATATGCCTGGGACATGAGAGGGGT